CCAGTCCCCGTCAGCAGCCTGGCAGCTCTATTTTGAACCAACTGAAGTATCCAGACCGTCTTCAAGGGTACCCCACGCAGAGCACGTTACAGAAGTTTTATATTTTCTTTCTCAAGATTTGCAGTCCAGACCTTGTTCTGTTGTGAATCCAAGGAGCATAGAGGGAAAAAGGGGTATATTACTATTTTAGTAGGTACAAAACAAAAGCTACTGTGTGTTCCATTAAAATGAGAACATCCACACAGAGCTGTTGTAGGGCAGTAGGCTAAAGAGACCAAGTTCCAAATCAGGAAGTTTAAATTTTGCCCAATGTACTAGATGGCTTAGGGCAGCTTTCCCCAACCTTGTGCCTTCCAGATGAGATGAATTAATTCAAGATGAATTGATTCAGGACAAGCTGAATCAAATATCAAAGACAAATCAATTCAAATCAAGACGAATAGATTAAGGACACAGACTTTTTTTCAACTTGAGTGCACAATGACATTTTCGCTGCGACTGCATATTTTTCACTTTGCTCACAGTTCAAACTTAGAAGCATCATTTGAACTGTGGAGTGATTTTATCTCAACTGTAACATTCGAACTTAGGATTGTAGGCTTTCGAACTGAGGCACCACTGTATTGTTATTAAAATATAACAGCTCTTTGCTTTGCTTTGACATTAACTCACTCAATTCATGCCTAAGAATTAAGACTATTCCTACCAAACCACTTCATTCACATATTTTCCCTGTCATTGTTCTTATTTTTGAAGTGCTGGTTTGTGGCAATTATAAAGGTTCCATTATATTAGCAAAATACAGCATACAATTGTTAACAGACAAATATCTAATTATCTGGCCTTACTAATGTATCAGATAAGAGTCAATAAACTGAGGTTCAGTACAGAAGTGACTGATGCTCCTGTGGGAGATGGTTCTGTGTTCAGCTGGGGGCACTGCATCTGGCACTAGATTGCATAATATTCTCCCAAAATGAGAAGGTGTGCAGCTTGGGCATGCTCCCGTATCTATCATCATCACTGGAAACTCAAATGGTTAATTACTACAATGCATTGGATGTCGGACTGTCTATGAAAATGGTTCAGAAACTGCAGCTGAACCAGAATTCAAAAGCAAATTACTGGCTATGATTAGATGATGCAGTTCTGGTTTGCTTGCACTGGTTGCCAATTTGTTTCTGGGCCAAATTCAAATTGTTGATTTCAACCCCAAAAGGCCTATAAAATAGGGAACCCTGATAAATTCCAGGAGGACCACCTCCTCTTTTGTGAGCTCATCTTCCGGTCCAAGTGGTCTGCTTCAGAGGCCTGTCTCTGTGTGTACCCACCCCACCAAGAGAAGCTTTAGAAGTGGCAGGTTTAGGAACAGAACCTTTTATGCAATAGCCCCACATTTACAGAATTTTCTCCTGAAAGAACCTTGCCTAGCACAGATACTGTCATCTTTTTGGTGATAGGCAAACAAATAGTACTTATTTTCTAGGAAATTTAGACATTAATGATGGCCCAATTGCTGTGTATTATTTCTGTAGTTTTTTATTCTTTGCAGGGAAAGGAAAGATTTGTATGCTAGAGATAAAACACCTTTCATCTCGCATTGTATTTGTAGTACATTTGTATGGATTTTCTGTTTGCATTATTGTGTCAATTAAAGTTTATTTCATTTTTTCTGTTATATTAATTATGGATTTCTGTATGACTTCAACTAAGTCATTTTAAGACTGCTTTTTGAGCTGGGTAGCAACACAGATTCTAACATCTGCCAAGAAGTGGTTTATGATACATGTAATCCAACTTTAAAATATTACAGTGAAAATAACAATGGATGCAAATGCATCCACTCTGTAGGATTAACCATCTCTTTCAGTTCCTCTTACCAGACACAAAGGAAGTGGCAAGTGGACAGCAGACAGACAATCTCCAGCCACTAACATGGTTATTCGTAAGGGAAGAATTGTGGTTTCCTCAAGAACTTTGTCTTTTGCATTGGGACAAAATAATGCACAATTACCACAGAATGTGCCAGAACTAGTCTACCCCACCCCCTGCAAAAAAAGCAACATCATCTTTTTTGGCCATCAGGCAGCATTCACTGTAAAGCATTTAGCACGCCTACAAAGGCATAAAACAGGAGGCACAAAAGTACTCTACATGAGAATATTCCATAGCAGAACTAATAGTTTGCTGTATGTTTCTTCATTTTGTGAAAAAGAAAAGAAAAACTCTAACAGCAGTAATGGAGTCTTGGAAAATGTAGTTTAACTTGTTCTCAAGCGTGTTGAATGAACTGGCAGGAGGAAAAAAAGGATTTAACTGGTTATACAGGAACATGGAAAAAGGCCCTGGAGGCAATTTTTGAAAAGGTGCTGTAAGGTGGTTTTTTTGAAGGGGGGAGGTGAAGATTAAAACATTCCTGCTACTGGCATTATTGTTTATGCTGTTCTTTCTACCATAAACCTAAAATAGCAGCAGAGAAAAGGCTGTTTTTGTATGAGGTAAGGAAGTAAATACTATATCATCACATGGTTTTTTAACTCTTGAATGAATGCATTTGAATGAATGACAATCAACCATTTTCCTTTCTAGAACATCTGGTTGTGAGGTTCCATGGAGAGATGAGGTACAAATTCTACAGCTGACCTGAAGAACAACTAGCAGTCTTCATCAATAAATCTTCTCCATTTTGAATTTTGTGAATATAGATGGGGAAGAACTATAGTCAACCAATTACTTCTGTGGCATTCTTGCTTCTAACCAACATTAAAAGACCTTTCCATGGTCACAAGGGCTGGGCAAAATGATTTGTAAGAAAGGCTTATGCAAATAAGACTGACCAGGTGGAATACAAACTTTTTGACACCTGAATATGGACAGCAGATTAGGGGAAATGAGAAACAGGGGCAAGAACTAAAATGAGTTCCAAAATCTTTGTTAGATGATGCTGAAACTGGTTACTAGTTTCCAGTTGTTTATACGAAACTTCAAAAGAGAGTTCAATTGGTAAACTGAATAAGGAAAAATTGAATTGCAAACATGCACCCAACATACTTTGTTGTCTAATATGTGTTAATACATGACCATACCAGATAACAATGACAAATAAGAAAGCAAGCTGTACACCCCACAATAAACTATGGGCCACTCCAGGAATGACATTGAAATGTATCTGGCCCAAAGCATTCTGTACCTACAGATCACTGAAAAAAAAGTTTCCACCATGCTAGTAATAGCAAAAAGGAATAGAAAGGAATAAGTATCTGATACTGTGCTAGAGCAACAGCTCCCTATTCTTTTCTATCAATTTTTGTTATGATTGCCATTCAACACAAGCCTGACAGCATCCTGTGTCCACAAAAACACTTTGGTCCAGGGAAGAGTTAATGCTATCTGACAGAGAATGTTATCCTGGATATTCAGGTGTATTAGTTGATGGTGTCCAAAGCATGTAGGGTGCACTGCCCCAGTTCTTTATTTGCCATTGTAATCACACATCATTACGTATTAATGTGTGTTGGTTACAAATGGCTGTTGATTGGAGATAACTTGTTTATTTCAAGGGGGACAGCTCTAGTATTGGCCAGGTGCATCTGATCCAAGAATCACATTATCACTAGGCAGTTGTTTTGCCCAAGGAATGCTGACTACAAGGATCACACTGCTTTGGAGGGCAGAGTTCACTTCCAATATACATGAAATAGACGCTTTTTCAGTAGAGAATTCAATTGTTGCCTGTTATGGGGACCTTAACCTCTGTCTAAATGCTGATAAAACATATGTGCATGCATGGATTTTTGTGACAGCAGGGTGGACAGAAAAAAATATGAATATAAGTTTGTAGGATCAAACATCCAAGAACACGCAAGAGAATTTGCCTGGACCTGTACAATAAAATGTGCTATCATTTTGTGACCAAA